AGCTCGAGTAAAATGAGAATCGGTTGTCGTCTTTCGGTGAGTTCGACTTATAAATCTCTTCATAATGCGTTTTCATACGAAATGAAAGTATCCGCAACAATTTGAGATTAATCGAAACCCGCTTTTTATTTCTGTACATTTGTTGGAGGAAAGTTAGCATTTTCATCGCATATGCTCTCTTCCTCTGCATCCGACAATCACCATTAGTTTTTCTTTCAAGGATTGTGTTATTACGATTGCTGCATACCTATTACTCTATATACAAGAGTTTTATTCTTAAAGACAATATATATCTATTCTTATTTATTTTTTACTTAATTTATTATGCTATAAATTTTCCTTAGTTCATTTAGCTCGCCTTTTATTTCTTTTATTTTCTCTTTTCTACAATACAATTCTTTTAGAATGTTCGAAAGTTTCTTTTTCCTGAAAAAAACCCCTTCTTGGAAGATTCTACTGCCGAACTAGCCTCTGTTGGCTATCGTTATCGACTCTTTGATTTGGGCAATGATATTCGCGTTGTAATGCGCTGCGAGGTAGATGCCGTTCTCCCTGATACTGGGACTAAGAAGATTCCCCCGCAGTTTGTCTACATCCGTGCTCTCAATGAGTTTGACTCCAAGGTTTGTTTTATCTCTTTTTTTGTTGAAAATTTGGGCTATTCAAAAATGGGATGTTGTTTTCCACACAAAATACAAATATAAAATCGTCTTGTGCTCGCACACAAATTTAGAAAATTGAGGTTAGTTCAGGTTAAGTTTTGTATCACTGAATTAACGTTTCTTTAGTGTTTCTTTAGTGAACTTGAGTGTCATCAGATTTATCTCAACCAATAGCGATTTTTTATCAATCCTTAATTAAACTCCCCTAGTTTGATTTGTTATGCAGGGACTGTTGTTTGATCAATATACTATAATATTATAGTGAAAGCTTGTTTCCGCCATGGAATTTCATCATATTCTGAACATGAGTTCTTATCCAATTTGACCTAATTATATCTAGGATATTTTGTCATCCCGTTCAAATCTAAATAGGCAAAGGCCAAAATTTATTGGCTTAACTCACTCTTGGGTTAACGAGTCCTAATGAAAATCGCTAAAAAAACTCACTTTAGATTTATTATTTTCATAATCGAATTGAGATATTTTCTCTTGTCATGGAATGACTTCAGAACGCGAGCTTGAATTCGAGGCTTCTAAGTAATTCGTTTTGCTAACCAAACGAAAAAGGCAACCATTTTTTGCAAGGATTCATGTTAAATAAAATTGATATGAAATATATTCAGCCTATGTCGTTTAAGGTGATGAAGAACTGGTAGCTGAATTTTATAACAATGTTGCGAGTAAAGCTGACGTTTCCTTTAAATTTCGTATAGTCTTGCTTTACTCAAAGGTGTTCTCATCCAGGATGGACTGATGATTCGACCTAGCCTAGATAGTGGGAGTAGAACCATGACAGTGCAGCATGTAACCTTAGCAAGTCAACCACTACACCACATTATCACGAGTGCCTTTGGGTGACAGGGCAGATGTGAATTTCAAGGAAAGCCAGGCATTTCCCATATCACATTCTTGGCTGGGATTGTGGATGAGGCAAAGTTATCTTTAATAGAAGATATGAAGACCAAGATGGTGTGGAATTTTGTGTGATCGCAGTCTCCTTTCCAAACTTGGTCATATTGGTAGGAAGACTTAAAAAAACGCACCTAGTCCGAAGTCCATTGTATGCATGATAATTTGAAAAGTCAGACCGTGGACGTGGTACATTGCCAGACCTTTCGCCGTCTTGCCATTCTTAGCACCACACTACAACTCGTCAAAGAGACAAATAAAACTGATTCTTAGACCAAATGTGTGCAAATAGTTGTGGTATCTCTTCTTCTGTCCTGGGCTATTCGCATTTCCTATCTCGTATGCC